TATTGTTTATATTTTAAATCTTCCCTATTATGTTATTCTTATAAAGTTTTCTAAGGTCCATATTTGTGTGACTATTTTTTCAATGATCATTTTGCTGCTTTAAACACCAGAATTTCTCCACTGATGGAAAATAAAGGGATTTTCTATTCTATTCTATTCTATTCTATTCTATTCTATTCTAAATCCTTTCTTTAATTCTCATATCAGTTTATCTCTTAATGTCATGGAAGGTTCCAGCAGCACCTGATATTAAAATGCGGATAGTTGAGCTCCCCAGTATTCTAAATTATTATTATTACACATTTATTACTGAACAACCTCTCTATATGTGAATATCTATTATATTTATTGGAACACATGTGAAATCTATTTCTACAATCAATGTCTACGTATAAATGTTAAAGTTATATGTAAATCTGGAATCTATGTGTAAATCTTAGGTCTGGATCTAAATCTATATTTTTTTTTATCTAAAGCTTAAATATTAACAAATCCATCAATGTCTGTCACGCTTATTCCTGCTGGGGTGGTGAGGGGGGTGGACTGTGGGAGGAAGCCGGAGTACCTGGAGAGAACCCACCATGCTCAGGGAGAACATGCTGACTCTATGCAGAAAGACCCTGGGTTGGGAATCAAACCTGGAACCTTCTTGCTTCAAGGCAGCAGTGCTACCCACTGTGTCACTGAGCTGCCCCAAACCTAAATCTAAAAAATAATAATTAAACTTTATTGATCTCACGTTGGAGAAATTCCCTCTCTGCATTTAACCCCCCGCCTTGGGGAGCAGTGGGCGGCCATTGTGTGGCGCCGGGGGAGCAGGGTGGGGTTCAGGGTCTTGCTCAGGGACCCAGAGTTGCAGTCTGTGGGAGTGGGGCTCAAACAGAACCTCAGGAAGTTCTATGCCCTAAAGACCAAGCCGCTGCTCCACTACCTTAAATCTAAACACAATACTGTGATTTAAAAAAGCAATAAATATGATTAAAGTGTCTAAAAGCCAAGCGATGGGACGGTGAATTCTCTTTAGTTAAACATTTGCATTCAGTGCTCCATTTGAAACTCCTGAAGTATTCCATTATGGAAAAGTCTGCTTTAAAAAAACAAAACCCATAAAACTACAATAAACCTGAAACTTCAGTCAGTGACAGTCGCTGTAACCATAGAGATGATGAGATGACATATGGATATAAACTGAAATATGTCAGAGCAGTCTTTCTTTGGATTAAAATGATGCTGTGGTCATGAGCTTCATCTATCCTCTGGCTCTCTGCTGGTTGGTTTCCTGCTCCTTATCTGGGCCGGGTCACAGCGCCAGCAGGACGAGGAGTAACGCCCAGACCTTCAACTCATCACTAACCTTTACAAGCTGCTGCTGAAACAATGGGAGGTCTTCCCATTGTTATCTTTGAGGTGTAGGGAGGCCGGTGTCGACCTAGAGGTCCAGTTGATATCTGAAGAACTTCCTCTAAGAGTCTTCCAGCGGGCGTAACCCCCCCGATGGTCAGAGGGACACTGGATCAGCTCTTTGCTCCTCTAAATAGCAGAACTATTCAGCTTCATTTTAAATTAGTGGAAAATCATATTTATAATGTCAAATCATTCTGGCTTAAACATGAAT